CATTTACAGAGCAAGGACATTTTATTACTAAATAATGGAAAACGTATTTTAAGTGTTAGCTTTGTTCAAACGTTCAGTGACAATGTATCATTTTGCATAATATATAGGCTTAGATTGTTGTGTTTAGATAGATAGTAAAATCTAAGAAGCAGTGAACTATTTCCACTTATGGAATTTCAAACGTAAACAAACATATTTTTGCACAAAAGGAAAGGAGATTGAGACTCAAAAGAACAGCTTGGAAAGGCAGAAATGTTGATGGGAACAGCAGTCTTTCCAATGATTGATGATAGAGATAATGATTCATACATCCATACCCTTAAATGGCTGTCTTTGCCCATGACTGCTGTCTAATTAATGTGAGCCATCATTCATGTAAAAGAAAATTTTTGCTTCTGGAAAAAAAATGCTACAAACTGCCAGCAGTGACAGTGCCAGAAACATGCCAATTAGAGTGATTTCTGCCAAGCAGCAAAAGGGCACAAAATAGTGGTTTCCAAGCAACTGACATTATGAAGTATTAAATACATTGGAAACTAAAATTTGCAGATAAACATTTCACCTTCACTTTCTGCTTCTTAACTCTATGTTGTCTCTCCTGCCTGCTCTTACACACTCTACTGTATCTTCCAGGAATCCGTATGCATTAAGGAATGCCAACTTATCATAATCTCTAAACACTAATATCTTTTTTGTCTGCATATATTCGGATAGGACTGGTACAGATTCACAGGTAAAGACAGACAAGGTCATAACCAGAACTCCAAAAATAACACATTTCTCACCATTAAAAAAAAAATCTTTCAGTAGTAGCTGCCATTTCAATCACAAAAATGAAATAGTTTTGTATTAAAGTCAGCTACACAGGCACTAGTAGCAGGAAAAGTAGGAGAAACAGCTTTTTGAGTTACAGTCTAACTGTTGTTGCAGGCATAAAGAATGCCTTAGTAGAGGCAGGGCTTTCTGCATGCAGAGTGACTTTTAGAGACCTGCCTTCAGGAAACTTGAACCATTTTAAAGAGCCATCCAGTTTCTAATTTAAAACATAAAAAGCAGCCAGTTAAATATTGTTAAACTGCCAGCAGTTTGACATTTAGTTTTATTTAACTAGCACAGCACAGTGAAACAGATGCACAGGAGCCACTTTCTTCAAGGGGAGATGCAATGCAGAGGTCTCCCTCGCCCTTTTTGCAAGGAAAGGCTTGACTGGCTCAGGGGATGGCATGGACACTTCCCCTTTGAGCTTGCAGCTCAAAGCTGTCACTTCCTAGGCATCATTGGCTGAGGATGACCACAAACTGTCATTTTTACATTGACACCTATGACTGCCACCGCACAGTTTCCAGTTTCTATCACCTTTCCTACCTCCTTTTTACACAAAGTATTTTCAGCTAGTCTCCTCTGAAGCAATATGCTTATTTTTAAGTGCTATTTCCTGTGGCGATGTTTAACAACACGAGTATTTGCAGTACACTCGCATGGTCTTGGAGAGTTCAGTTAGTCTACAGAAGGGCTTTATAGCAACCTGCTTTTATTAGGGATTAACAACTACAAGCTTCCAATGCTTTGGTAATCATTTTTGCTGTGTAACTGTTCCTACATATTTCTACAATTTATTAGTTACAAAGACTTCTACTTTCTTGGTTCTCATACAATACATCCTCACGCAAGTGTGGATTATTTAACATTATTTCTGGATTCCATTTACAGATGTCATTGGAACAAAGCAAATAAGAGAGGATCTCCCTCAGAGCTGAATGTCATTTAGTTTTAGTAAGAATAGCAATAGAAATAAAAACATAATTCTTAGCTCAAAGCTAAAGATATTTGAATGCTCAAGGACAAAGGTGTTCTCTCTTCTGCCATACTGTACTCCACCCACTGAATCTGACATTGGGAAGTACTTAAGTCAGTCAGAGCTTCTATGTGTCTACATGGGCCATCTCCACTGGAGGTAAGATGTACTGATCCACAAAGGAAGAGGAATGATCATTATCTGCAGATTTCCCAAATAGCTTTTCATTTTAGGCTTCACAAAGATAAGCAAATTCCTTCCTACATTTTAATGCTGTGTTTAATTTTACATTTAGGTAAAATGATATCTGAGAGCTGACAAGTGTCTCCCTAAAGTTACTGGGTACAACTCATCTGTAGAAAAGAGCTGGTACGACTTCCTACTTGGGAGCAGTGACTGATAGTTTTGAAAGATGAGTAGTTGGAGCAACCTCTGCGTTCTGTCATCATCCTCTTTTATATCAACATGAGGACTCAAAGTACACAAGAATATTACTGAGAGGAGGTATGAGGTCATAATTATAAGGTTTATCTTCAGTTTAATTATATTTTTAATGGGTAAGATAGAACATTAAAGCTTTATGAATGCAGCTGAGTCTGTTCTGGTAATAACTCTTCAAACATTTTGAGATAATTTTAAAATTCATACGACTGTGCTATGTCACTGTGATCGTTAACAAACTTCCTCACAGTTTGTTCCATCATAGCCTTTCATACAAACAAGCTACAAGATCACAGACACTACTTCCTCTGAATATGTATCAATTAACGTCCAAGTAAGACAACTGCTGGGTGTTCCTTTTCAATCAGGAGGAGGAAAAGCAGCAAAAACTAAATCCACAAAGGTCATTTGTATTCACTGACTCCCTGTAGTATGGATTAGCATGCTGCCCTGCTGGCCTGACTGCTATAATTGAAATTAAAAGTTGCTGCCCTAGAGAAGAAAGCTTGATTATTTTTTTTTTCAACTGTGTTTTTTTCTAAAATAGCTCTTTTTCTATACTCTGAAAGAAGTACTGCTGACATGTCCTTTGGTCCAAACCAGCAACGCAGTCATACCCACTTGAAATTATCTTTTCCCGCAACTTTATATTTTCATATTTGGTTAAAAAGTATCTGTGGGTTTGATTTCTTTGCTGTTCTTACTGTTCTTTTTCCTACATGCAGGTTTAGCCAAAGTAACATTGTGCAAACACTCAAGCTGAATGTCTAGCACATTTTCATTGTTAAAAGATCATACAATGGTGGATCACTACTGGGATTACAATGTGAGGATTGCCTGGTATTACACGATATGACAGGCAAACTTTATTTGAGCATTTATTCAGACAACCATGCTTTCCAGAAACTAGTATTAGAGTGACCATTGCCTATACAAGAGGAAAAAAAGCACATTTCTCCTGAGCACACTAAGCAGCTATGACTAGGCCTTGACCATGCTAAACTTCTGACCTTCAAAAAACAAATGTGTGTGAATATATCATTTACTGTTCAGTAAAAGTAAGAAGAAAATATACATTTATTGGTGCAGTAGCACAAGATTAGATCTTCCCTTTCCACCCAGGCATTTGAAATCACATGAAGCTAGTTCTGAATGCAACTGTGAATTACAGTTATGGGACTAGAAGGAGATGGCAGAGTTGGAGATGCTTCACCACAAAGGTACTTTCTTACTATCCTCTGTGGGTGTGGTGCCGCTACAACAGGTGATCAGGACATAACAGACAATTCTGCTGCTAATGTATATAGAGGAATATAATCTTGTATTTCCCTTTAGCTGTATTGGCTTCTGGAGGTGAGAAGGGACGAAGCTACTTTTCTCTAACTTCCTTCATTTTATGCAGTTACAATCTCAGCCAGACAATGCAAGAGCCTAACTTGTCTTCAATATATTATGCTAATACAATATCATGTGTTCTCTTGACTACCTATTTATTTAGAGTTAACCTAATTATTAAGTTTTTATACAGATTTCTGTCTTACTGCTGCTTTCTTTAATTCAACTACTTTTATCAAGTGAATGCTCTTCAAAGACTTAAAGTCTAGGAACCCTGTAAACACTTGTGTAATCTGTACCCTGCTGGGGCTGGCAGTGGTAATTTGTCAATTTTATTTGCAGCAGGCTGTAACTAAACCTTGCCAGATGTAAATCATCTTTTTGTACTACTGCTTGCTGTTTCAGTTGCAAATGAATCTCATTTCTTAGCTTAACACTCACATCAAGAAAGCTAGAAGGTTCCAGGAAAATTTAGAAAACCCTAGAGTCACCAACTGCAAGGCTTATTATGCAGTTTAGCAACTGTTTAAGATAATACTGAGCAAATAGAGTGAATGGTCTCTGTAGGCAAGTTTGGAGTGCAATCAGAATGTGTGATTGCAACAGAAAAGCATATTGAAGCCTCAATCTTGTCAACTTAAGCACCACCTGCAGTGACAATGGTGAAACATGGGTGACAACACAACCTAAGTACATTTAAGAGTACAAGTGCCTAAATGGGCAAGTACTCTTTGCTAAAGCCTACTCCCAATAAGCCTCCCCGGTTTTTACTTTGGCTTTTAAGAAACACCCTGCTGGGAGAGAAGTTCATTGTGTTTATTGTGTCTAGTGGCAATAGAAGGTAGAAGGGTAGCAAAGGCATGCACACCCAGCTACTTTTTGTGGTCAACCCCATAAAATAATGGTTGCTGTCCAAACTTGGCTAGCATAAGGTATATAGGATCCCCATGTCCTGTTATAACAGGCACAAGAATCTATTCGTTCAGTGTCAGTATCCTCTCGACTTAAGTTGGTAAATTCCGCATGACTCCATGCAGATACTACTGTAATAGTGGTAGATATTTTCATTACGATTTTCCATCACATAGTGGACATTATATGTCCTGACATCCCTCATTTTTGACTACTTTATTACCAAATCTAGGCACAGCACTGTGTCATGCAAAAGACTGCAAAGAATTAACAAGTGTTTATATAAAGAACACTAAGACAACATAGTATTGATATAGACAGCTATCAATCATTCCTTATACAGCATTGACAACATTTTGAGCATACATAAAGCCTATAAAGGAAGATTTATAAACCATCTTTTCTAAGCTGTTAGTACCATTTATTATTTCACCTATAATCCAACTGCTGCCACTGCAGAACCAGAGACTCCTTTAGCCTTGACTGGCCCATTTCACCGTGCTCTGGATTTCCTTACCTCGAGCGAGCTAGAGCTGCACTAAGAGTCCTCAGCTCCTTTCCTGTTTCTCTAATACGGGAGCGCTCCTTCACTGGTTTTGGTGGATCAGACTGAAAATGATCAAATTGAAAAGGATTATTACAGCATTAAGAGAGTTTAGCATAGAGAAGGTATGTGCAATCTCAGGGTTCAGTTTTACTCATCAAATATTTTCTGAGATGGTCATCATCTGGGACAGCGTTGTGTCATCTGACAAGCATGTAAACAAGCTGTACATGATACTGCTGTGCATGCCCATGTATATGTGTGTTCCAACAGCTTTTAACTCATTGGCTGACTTCAAGTTTGACAGAGGTCTTTACAGGCAGTTAAGCACCCATGAGCTTCATTAAACTACAAGACAGGAAGAGGAGGTTGTTCAATGGCCTAGACTTAAGGAATGACTGCTGCGAGCGCTTATGCATTAACAAACTACAAAAGCATGCACGGGAGAGAAACCTTTTAGAAGTTGCAACCCAGAAAAATCTTCAATCAGACTCAAACCAGGGAGATTGACACTTTTAAAAAAAACTAAACAATAAGAAAAGCTCCACAGATAGAGTTGATTCTGGCACACAGAGCATAATGGTTTTGTTATTTTCTTTCTCTCCTTTATTTTTTAAGGGTGTACAAACCAGGTCAGCAATTTTACATAAGGGAATTAAAATCACCTACTTAGTATACTGTTCAAAATGCCTGCAATATTTTTTCTTCTGAGCTGCTATAGAACTAAAATACATGGGAGATGAAAGCTTCTATTTGTTGTTGAACTAGCCCTGGCTTAGAAGTACCCTTGGGGTTTCCAGAGAACATCTGCATCAATTTCAAAGAATTATGATTGCATGCTGTGCATATGCAGTGCTTTTGCATGTGTCAGGTAATAAAATATGCAACTGAGGCAGTGCTCAATGTGCAAAAAGTGCTGGGCTAAATTGCTATCCATCGGGAGACATAGTGCTGGTGTGCAGGGACTGAGGTACAGCTGAAAGTGTTCCATGCGTTTCATAAGCATCCTAAGATGTCCAGAAAAAATAAATTCTTGGTAAAGGAAATCAAGAAGATCCTTTATTATGCACCTGGGAAAGTATGCGACAGGATATCGCAGATCTTGGTTGGATCTGTAGAGAAAATGCTCGCCTGCTCCAGAGAGGCTGCAACTCTCACTTCAAATCTTTATGCATATCTGAGTGTATTGTTTTTGATCACTGAACCAACCGATGCTCTGTAGGCACAACAGCTTCTGTGAGAAGACTGAGCTCCATTCTTCACCCTTTCTTCCTATGTTTTTAACTTTCCAGAAAGCTCTCTTAAAGTGCAAACAAAAGACTTCTTATTAATGAGGTGTCTAGATAAAAATTATAATTGCAAATAAGAACTGAAAAGAGAAAAACAGTAAATGAATGTGTTGGTGGAATGTTTCTGACATTCAAGCCAGAGTGCTTCTGCCAGGAAAACAACTGGCACAGCTGACCCTTTTAGCAAGGCTTACACAGCTACATCCCACTTTTCAACTTGGTCAGCTTCCAACAAATCTGAAATACCTCACTGGCTGATTTGACTTAGATAAAAAAGGAAATTAAATATTGTGCTGTGATAGGTGAGATATTACTGGATGCTGAAGTCAGACTAACACTGGCTTTCTTCCTTAAAGAAATACTTTCAAAAAAGAATTAAAAAAAATGTTAGCGTTGTCAGTTTTCATATAATTGCAAATGTACCATCCTTTCTCTATTGTTTACATTTTATTCTTTTCTTTTCTAAAAAAAAAAAATAATGATCAAATCAGCTGTCTAACATTCAGTTTTGTTTTAAAGAGAAAAGGGATGGATCAGATTTGAAATAAGCTATCAAAGGCAAGATATGACAAAAAATCAAATCTTTTTCTTGGATTGTCAAGTAGAATTCAGGCAAATTGTTAAATGCATACAGGGAAATTAAAATGTGTTTTAATTCCAACATATATCTATATTTAAATTGCTTTGGGATAGATAGCCACAGACTACACTGTAACTCTGTGCTGCAGTACAACAGGCCTAAGTACACATCAAATGCAACATACACTTGGGTGGTCTTAGATGAATTAGAACAGACTCACCATAGCAGCTGTTCTGTGCTCACCAAGAAGTGGCATTTCAGTAAAATTATCTCCAGGCCATTCAATATTTAAAATTGTAGGTTTAAGGTCACACCAGGCAAAGGCTGTAAAACCCAGGTATAGACTAGATCTTCAACAACTGTTAATTAGTGCAGCTCTATATAACACCCGAAAGAACAGCTCTTTTAGCTGTGGGGTTTTGAGATCTAAGAATGTGCAATATTTACCTATGTACTTTAATATTAATTTTTGAAATAAAAAGTAATTTTGAATGCATTAGCAATTTCTGTGCTAAACTGCAACATGGTTTAAAGGTCAGTCTTCTAGAACTGACACATGGAATAACTAACACATCTAAACTGAATTTTCAGAACACTATTTTACCTAGTTACAATGGAATCCTGCATCTCACTCATCAGCAATTTTTTTTCTGATACCTTTAGGATGAGTTTTACTAGATAAAACCTATGAAACATTCATCAGTCAGCAAATGGTTTCTTATGTAGAATAAGGCTTTAAACACTGAATTCAGCATACAGATATCTACTTGAATAACTAAAACGTGACGTTTGTCTATTGCCTTCTTTAACTCCATCTTGAATCAAAGCTTCACCAACAGTCTCACCTCTGGACTGAAAGAGTTCTTGTTAGTAGTAACCTCAGCCACTTCTTTGGGTGTTTTTTCCTGTACATCTTTTTTCACTGGTTCCTAAAAAATGAACAAACCCATGTAACCATATTTGAAATACTGCTAGTTATCCATGCTGTAGCAGGTCATAATTTTCAAAATTAAGTGGTGCAAATAAACTTTTCTACAGAGATGGAAACTAAAGCAAAAATAATGGCTAGTCTACTGTAGAAAAACTTAAAATGTCACTAAGGATCTTTGATGCACAAATAGGTTCTCATACGAAGTACCTGCCGACTGTGCAAAATGCATACACGCTTCCTAAATTACTATGCTTAAATTCCTAGAAAATGTAACTTTTCTCTTTGAAAACTCTTATATAGACTGCTGTGTCTAACATAAAAAGAAAAATCCAATTTCCAAAACCAGGAATAGGAAATTACTTACCTGTAATTGCTCTTCCCTGAAGATACACACTGTGATAGACCACTATTCTTGGATCTGTGCTTTCACCCACAAGGAAGGCACAGACTCATGAAAAGGCCTGAAGTCAGACACAAGCACACTTCTAGTCCTCCTTCAACTATCAATTATTCAAGCAGAAGGAAGACTTATTCCCTCCTATTAGAAAAGTTATATAGGTAGATTAATAAAAGACTTTAGATCACTCAGCAGTGTATGGTGCACAGGCAAAAAGGATGTAAAAACAGTAATTCCTTCCTGCACTAGTCTTAGATCAAAGAGCTCATATATTGAATCCAAGCAAAGCAAAGCAAAGCTGGAGACCTTAGCAAGCTGCATCCATTTAGGAAGGGTGCTGATACACAAAAGCTGATACAGAAAAGAGGCTGAAAGACTACCCAGCAGACTCAGAGCCACAGATGAAATACTTGCCATGCTGTACAACTGTTGCCCAATACAGCAAAGCCTGGACATATTCAAGTATTTAAAAAAAATAATAAGAGCAGAGCATTTTGCTTGTTAGAATCTTGACTTGAGAAGGCAGAAAATTCTTTCCAAATTTATGTTCCTGTGTAACGTTTCAGCGGAACAAAGGTTCAAAGTGTAAGGAACAGTATCTACACTCACTGGAGAACTGCAAACACCAACGTTCTAATGACTGAGCCAGCCTACAAACAAACACAAAACTGAGGGAAAAAGCCCAAACAACCCTAAGTAGCCCTAAGGTTTCAATGGCTTCAAGGCACCAGTACACTGAGCACTAGTAGAGGGACTAGAGCCATTTTGCTATATTCATTGCAAGTGTCTAATGTCACAGTGGACTGAAGAAAAGTTTCCTCAGGTACAACATTTCCCTGCACACAACCTCTGCCCAACCAGTTCCACCAGCACATGAAGAAAGGGAAAAGAGCTGGGAACCTACCTCACCTTTGCACAGTTGCTGAGGGAGGAACTAGCAGACACTACCCCCACCCAGGCACTGATGATGTGATTCAATCAGCCTTGTCACAGAAAACAGACGGGAATAGCTTCCTTTTCCACAACATTATCTTTCATTACTATGTCATGTATTGAAAAGGTGCAATCTGAGCTTAAAACAGTAACAGTACATAATTATAGAACAGCAGGAACTCTATCTTTTTAATTTGCAGTGCAGATATAAAAAACAGAGAAAACAATACTGGTACGTCTAATTTGTTAAACTCAACAATATATTATCATGACTATATGAACAATCTTTGGGGTTTGGGTGTTGGGATTTTTTTCTTTTTTAGTGTTTCCAACTTATGAAGACTTTCATCATAGTTCATCTAATTTGTTTTTAAGCCATCAAAAGACCTGTTTAAGTGATCATTTCCTGCTTTCATTATAGTGAAGTAACAAAATCTCATACAATTCCATATGCAAGAAACAATAATTTAAAAAACCAAACTAAAAAAAAAATCATAAAGTAATAAATGAAACATCATGTTAAAGTGATGCTACATGAGGAAATGACCCAAAAGTTTTCCGTGGAAGGGGTTATGGTCATTTTTCTTGAGCTCACATCCAGCAGCTCTGGCGAAATGAACTACAGCAATCCTGCAGCAGGTGGAGCTCGATGCCATCTGATGATCTATAGCTCCACTCCTGTGCACCTGGAGGTGACCCCTTTCAGTGCTACCACAGGTGGCTAATGGCACACAGGAAGTCCTGGCCTTACTGCCTTAGACAGCTCCTTCTGAGTTCTCCTCATCTTTAGAAAGAAAATTGAAGGCTTTTAGTGGTTTTGGACTAACAAATACTTTTGAATAGCTTGTTTCAGTTCACAAACCACTGCCTGCAGACACTCTAGATTTTATCCTAACAATTCCCAAATACTTCCACTTTCTTTTCTAAATAACTCTAGAGATTAAAAATTGTTCAAATCCTTCCTTTTATTAAAGATTTTCTCAATTTCATAAACCTGTCATCTATGTAGTAAGTTTTGAGAACTTCCAACTTTCTTGTCCAAATCTTACTGTGGAAATAGTCTGAGTTGGTGGTGCATATACCATCTATAGATGGAGAGTCGAGGTGCAATCAACATGCTTTTAGGTTGTATGCTTTCAAATTTTTTGTTTAAGCTGATGAAAGAACCTGTTTCCTTGGCAATTTCTATAGTTTTTTCATTCTGGGCAACTCATTACGTTTATATGTTACTGTCAAAAATAGCAGACTGAGACACCTATTGCACTCTTCTTCCTTCTAATATATCCCTTGAATGGGAGCATTATGATTACATTTGCAAACTGTGAGCGTGATTTGATGAAAATGAATCAGCCAACGTTTAGCCACTGAAATGCAAGACTGACCTGGTGAAATATATTTTTTAATTTTACAAAAATATTTGGAAAGCTTTTGTGAAGCACTACATACAGAGCTGGCTACTGCTGTTGTGCAAGAGGGATTCTAAATGTTAAATTTTAAAGGCAGTATTCTAGCCGAGCACTCAGGATTTTTTTTTCTTTCCTATTTTTTCTTTTACTGCTGCTGCTCAATACTGACCCTTTCTGCCCCTTCACTAGAATGTGGGAACACAGAACAGACATCGGGACTAAAAGAGAATTTTCAATTGAACACAAGAAGCTCAGAGACAAAGGGCTTCATGAAGAATACATTGCAGAAAATTAAGATCGCTTTAAAAGTTATGCTATTTTAGTGCTTCAGCTTAAAAAACCAAGCCACAACTAAATCGGCAGATAGAAATATAAATCAGCATCACAGAAGAGACACCTGATTTGTTAAGGTTGTGCTGTACCATATCAATAATGCAAAGCACTTCGCAGTTGAGAATCTGTTGCCAAGGGGAGCACTTGATAAGAGCTATTGCAGCAGCTTCCATTCCTTGGTGCCTGATCAGAAATGGTCCTGATATCGATGGAAAGGGGCACTCATCCCACTGTTTTACCGTGGGTAGTTTTAATGAGTGAGGGAGTTCCAGTCCTGCCAGGTCTCCTGCTGCACTCCAATGAACACATTGCTGTCAATATAGATGTATCAGGAAAATGGAAAGAGGCAGCTGAAAAGGGAGAGGAAGGTTGTCTGCTAGTGAAAGCATGAGAATGAAATTTGGAATAAGTAGATTCAATTTCACCTCTGACATCCTAAATAAAACATTTAACACCATATCCCAGCTAGCAGGAGCCTTTTTTCTTTTTTGACTACAATGAATTTTTGTACAAACTCTACAGCTCATTGTGCCTCTACTCCCCATGTCTGAAATAGGAAAAATAACACTTCCCTTTCATTAACATCTATCTATGAAGTATTCAGCTATTATAGTGATGGAAAGGCTATGTACAGAAAAACTGTTGTTTTCATAATAAAACCAGCTTGAATAGCTTGGTATTGTATATTCCATTGATTTCCCCCTGTCTCTCACATTCCTTGAGGAAATTCTCTTTCCATCCCCTTGTCTCCAAAGAATATTTACCTAATTCTGAGAAGTTTGGTAAGTTTTGTAAAAATAATTAGACCAAATTAATGTCAGTTGCATTGCTGTCACTACATTTACTCTACAGTAATCCCTACTCTACTTTTAATCCCTTAAGCAATTGCATCATTTGAGCTGCCATCTTTATAGTCCCCATAACTCTTTTCATTAGGACAATCTGAATTCTTTTTAATGTGTCCTTGGAAGTCAATGCAAATAAACAAGCAAAAAAAACCCCAACTATGACATCTCTCTATACTGTTTAGATTTCTGTCATTTACATGGCCTCTGGGCAACATGCCAGTAATTTAGGCACAGGCAACACTCCCAAAGCCGTTTTATTTGTGCAACATTTTTGGTTGCACACTGGCAACAATAATATTACTGAGTCTTAGCTAATGTTTTCCCCTACTGAAGTCAGAATTACAAGTGTTCTTTCCAAATCTTCTTCCAGAAGACCAAATGTCCCTAAGACAATGTGGATCACCAAAAACCCATTCTACTACACATGAATGTAATGAGTCTTAAACTGAAAAAACCCACCTTTTTGCACCACAGTAGTGCTCACTTCCTTCTTGCTTTTAGTAGGGTTTAAAATAGATTACAAAAGTGCTGAAAAGAACCCTTTAGACAAAGGACACTCAGAAAGCAGAAACATCTATAAACCTCTCTTAAAAATTAGTTTCTTTCTTCTGCTACTCTAACACAGGATTTCTTATTGGAATGCTATGCTAAAAACATGAAAGTTCATGAACCAAGGCAGGAGTACCTAACAAAATTATCAGATCGATATCTGCTACAGCACAGAGTCTCTATTCAATCCAAAGGCAACAAACAAAAAAAGAACATGCTATTCTGTTTTATTTCATAGTGAGAACAAAGTTAATTTGAGAAGGCGTTGGGGGAAGACACAGCTGGAGAGCAGAGTTACCAGCCTCAGGAAATTCAAGGAAATGTAATTGAGAACAAATTATCTCTTTAATTACTTTTGACCAAATCAATAAAAACCATGGAATAAAAAGCATGATGACTGCCACCTGGTAGAGGACAAAGAACACCAAAAGTTGAAAATTACCACAAAACTAAAACACAGCAGCGTTAAGAACAATGAAAGCACTTCTCTTACAGAAGAAAAAGGAAAAAAAAAAAAAAAGAGGGTGAAGGA